GTCAAGCCGATGGCTTCGTTTCAACCTAAAATTCAGTTTTTCACCTTTTTCAGTGCATCTCATGTTTCATCACAGTGTTAGTAACCAGCAGACGTTGGTATCTGTAACGACGCACCGCCGTGACCGAGCCTGCAAGTGACTGATTGGAGTCAATTAGTTGGTAATTAGAGGCAACTGTAAATAAGGAGCACGAGGGTTTGAGAAAGGAGGACTGGTAGAGAGCCGAGGAGACTGCTTGCTCAATGTGACTGAGGAAATAAATAAATGCAATTGTGACACGGAGATCTCGTCTAACCCTCCTCTTCATGCGTTTGCCCCATGACCGCTCGGGCAGTCTGACAAGTATCGGTAATCAAATCTCCCTCGTAGTGATGTAATATGAGAGAGAGCCCACACAGGAATCCGTGGCTGCTTTGACCAGTCACGCCCAGAGCAACAGCGTCTGACATACCAAGCACATGACCAATATCTTGCTGGTCATTCCCAGTCCTCCTCCACATTGTGCAGGCTTTAGTCACCGCACAATGTGGTGTACACATTGGTCCTAATGGGTCAGGGAGTTAAATGCATCTGGGAGACGCGCAAGGATGCTGCAGCTAGCATGATGTCAGTTAAGTGGGCGTTGCCTAGACAACGAGTTTTTGAGTTCATAAAGTAATTGATTGTTTCTGCTTCAATAGTCGTTGGCCTTTTTGACTACAGTGCAATTGTGCTTAGCCTGGACCAACATTATTATTTTGACCAAGCAACAAACAGAAATATAGAAAAAATAGAATACTGATATGTGCAATGAAGTAACTCGACCCAACGGTCATAAGAGGAAAACGCCACTTCTCCTGAAAAAAACAAAGCACATGGAGATATTCATTCATTGTTACATGTTTTGACCATAAGCCAGTGTTTCCCCCGGGTTTACATTATTGAATTAATGGAAAGCACTGCATAAACCTTTCCTAGTCTACCTCTGTAGCGGCCCTTCAAGTGCCTCCCCAAATTGTCCAGGGTCCGGCATGTTGGTGATAAAACCCTCCGTGGCGGATGTGTGCTGGTAAAGAGTCCGTCACCCTTGCGGCCTGCTGGGGTCCTCTTTCATCCGCCTCTCGTTGACGAGCGCAGGGTGGAGGAACAGGGAGACGGAAGACGAGAGGGGTGCACAGGCGTTCAGAGTGCTTCCAGAAGTGAGTCTCACATCTGGGATTTGGTGATCTTTTGTGCTGGTGGATTAATGTGTTGACAACAATTACAGGCAGGAATGTATAGTCTGCGTGCGCGCTCGCCACAAGACTCAACATAGGCTCGCTGTGCGATGAGTCGTGCTCTGTGGAAAACCGCAATGCAGCAGGCCCACCCATCTTTTTACCTTTTAACCTACTTTTTAGTTTAATTTTTGCCGTATGGCATCCGTTCATCAAAGAAGCAGGATGATGAACGATCGGCCTGCTATGGTTCAGGATGGCAGGGGGGCCTTGTTGCATTATCAGAACACTCAGAAACCTGCCAGAGGAACCAGTGCTGTGGATGCTCGGCTTCTTCTGGCGTGCGCCTCCACTTCGACTGTAATTGAAAGCTTGTGCTCTGCTAAAAACTGGCTTTTGATCAGATTTATCCCGTCTGGTCTCCAGCCTCCCGAAGAGGCACGGACAACCCCGCCCCAAAAAAAATGAGACCAGATGCAGATGGTGCCTCCCCCAGCCCCTCCTCCACCCCAGGCCTCAGCTGCTATTTCAGGTGCTACCGATGAGCAAACCAGCATGTGGCAATGCAGCTGTGGGACTGATGTGGTACGCAGTGTCCCAGATAGCTGTTGGTGGGAACTGCGATGTGTTTTCTGATTTGCCATTGAGAAGAGCGCCGCTGCACTCAACATACATGACGCGTGCTCTTTAGACACCTTGATTCCTAGCCGGGTTGATTGGGAGTCTCCTGAGGAGGAAGCGGGTTGTTGGGTTCATGAGAGTGGAGGAAACTCATCTCTGACAGTCGGCTTTTTTTTTTTTTTTTTTCAAACTGAAGCCCAGATTTTCTCTGTAGGTCAACAACGGCGGTCAGTACCCATCCGGCTGACGCAGCGGGTTCTTTTACAATAGAACCGGCCTCTCTGGCAAATCAGACCGCGTCCCAAACTGCAACTTTGGACATATTTGCCACCCTGATTGGGGTTATGGGAAGTATGCAACATGGACTCCAAAGGAACAGTTGGATAACCTCCAGCACAGCAACAAAAGGCTCTTTGGTCCAAACTGATCCTGCAATTATTGCTGACAACTTTAATGCTGCAATGGGCTATCCGCTCATGTCATTAAATAACGCACTGCGGTGAAAGAGTCTGAGTTTTGGGCAGATTGTTTGCTTGATGTATCGACAATCCGTTACATATTCGGGGCAACGTTGATCTATTGCTTCGCTCTGGGTTTCCTGTCGTGTCATTTCTAAACCCGTTGCACAGGTGCTCTCGTTTCCCCGATTTGAAAGGGATCACAGAGGTCTTTGATGCCTACACACTACACACACACACACACATACACACACGCACAACCCTTGGCACAGAGGCCCCCACACGTGTTTACCATAGAGATGACCTCAGTACGACAGGAATGCACCATGTATTAGTAGAACAACACTCGCTAAGACGGTGAGATGGATCTCGCTCTGGTCTCCTGCGGTTGGGTTTTTAAAGAAGCCGCTGTGTGTGCCGGTCTGGTCGTGGGACTTCCCACGGGACAGCTGATGTGGCCTGCAGCAGAGAATCGCGTGAGGCATCATTATCATCAGACGGAGCTGTTTGGTTGCCTGTCTGACCAGAATCGAAGGCTAAAATGGTCAAACTATGACAGTCTGCCCCATTTTTTAATTATTTAAAATAACTACAATATTACAAATGTATTTCGTGGAGATTCAGCAAACGTTTGCGTTTATAAATTGCTTAACCAGATATCTACCTAATTTAGATACATTATGTCTCAACCTTTTGGTACTTAGCGATTTCCCCATAGCAGAGATATACTATCTCAGGTGAGCAGTTAGGCCCCATAATGTATTTAGCTTCGAACATATTTAATCTATTTAGAAGATGCATAATACCCTTTGCAATAAATTCTGGTTAAAGCTTCACAGATAATCACTGATGCTATTTTGCTGTGTGATTCTCACATTGACATTCAAAATCTTCCATCACAAAGTTGTAGGTGACAGCAAGTTGCCTACAACTCTGCAGTGCAGGCTGTATTGAAATTAGTTCTGAAAAGCATTGATTTTGGGGAGATAAATCCAAAAGAAGGAAGCCTTAAATATAGACGTTGTTGCACTGGAATTCTATTTAAGTAAAAAGAAAATGTTAATAACAAACTACTTTCAGGAAGTGGCAAACCTCCAATTCCTCCATTCTTTAACTCGGTCCTACAGCTTTATCGGCCAGTGTTGGACTGGGAAAATGAATGATTCGATGAGTTTTCGGTGTGCAGTCGAGAGTGTAATTGTGTTAAATGATCCAGTACGTTTCTTTTGTGTCAGACCCACGGAGCTTTGTGTTAATCCCCACATCCACTGGAGATGGAAGCAATTGCGAGGTTTACCTACTCATCAAAAGAGACCTGGTGAACTTTACTGCAGTGACGTTTGAAACCAACCTGGCTCTCGGGGCTCGTTGTTTGACGCTCTGTTCTCTTAATGGCCCGATGGTGTTCAAGTTTTAAGTTCTCCATTGCAGTCGAGCCTCTTTGCTTTGCTGTTGAGATCCTAATGATGACAGTGGTGCACCGCTGTATTGAGCATTTTATTTAGATTTAGTGTTGCCGACGCGCCTTCCTTTCATCCCGTCCGTCTCCATCTAAGTGGTTTATTTCCTCGCGAGTGCCAGAAGGAAGGAGCCGCTTCCCACTCGATGTAAATCGTTAATCCATCATGATTGTGATAGACTTGGTACTGATTAATGGAGCGGAGCCCTTTGGTAATTTGATTACTGCATTAGGGACACGAGCCCGCGCACATGCGCACAAATGCAGCTCCCAGCCGTTGTTCTTCTGCATGCTTCCTAATTGAATCAGCAGTAGATTGACCCTGAAGCAGCCCGACGTTTTCAACTGTGGCGTCCCATAAAATTCTCAGGGGTATTTTGGCTTCCTACGAAGACATCTGTTGCTGTTGTAATGTTTCGGAAGCTGGTCATTTAGGCACGGCGTCTTTTCAGGAGCTTATGCCTCCATGGAACACTTAAAACACTGTCTCTGCTGACTCATTGCGTTAAATAATTTAAAATGATTTAAATAGAAAGTTGCTGAAATGGTTATCCATGTTTTGTTCTGCCAATATTATGGCAAAGACCTTACATGTTTTACCTTTTTTTTTACTGGCTGTTGTACTGGCTGAGGATCTCTCTGTGCCCTTCCATTGGTGTCGACGTGGCTCTAAATCACCCCATTAATCTGTTTTTCTCTGCGGATGTCTGGCCCAGGCTGTTTTCCATTAGGAGAAATGTGTGTGTGTGTGTGTGTACATGCTGAGGATTTTCAATGAGGGGTGCACTGACAGGCGTGATTCCTCAGAAAGGACCTCGGAGGGTTATTCACCTGCAACTTGTTGAAGTTAAGCCCGCTGCCACACCTCTGCTTAGATAAGTGGGTTTTCAGACTCGGGGCACGGATGAGGTTGTGCGTGCGTGCGTGCGTGCTCAGCCCACCCAGTGCTTTAACTCGTTGGGAATCGGGATCCATTCATCCTGGAGGTATTTTCAGTCTTAATGAAACACCTGAGACCAGTTAAACCCAGCTCAGCATTTGTAGCACCGATGCGCAAACACATGCACTGTTACTACACAACAATAGATTCTGATTTGTCAATCTGTGCTTTGAAAGCTTTGAAAGATTTCAGTGTGTTTTAAAGAAACATCAAACCTGGGGTCCGTCGTTCTTCGCTCTTCGCTGAAATACTTGTACTGACGGTGAAAACTCCTCCAGCCTCTGGCTGCATCCTAATCCATTTGTTGTCTTCCCTGGTCTCCTCAGAGATCCGCGCTCAGTTGGTGGAACAGCAGAAATGTATGGACCAGCAGACGGAGATGAGGGTACAGCTGCTGCAGGACCTCCAGGATTTCTTCAGGAAGAAGGCAGAGATTGAGATGGAGTACTCCAGAAACCTGGAGAAGCTGGCCGAACGCTTCATGGCCAAGACGCGCAGCACCAAGGATCACCAGCAGTACAAGTGAGGAGACGCTGCCTCCGGTGCTCAGTTTGTTTAGGATGTCATCCAGGCTGCTGGCTCACTATGTCACATCCACATCTTTGTTTATCAAAACCAAAACATTTCTGTATTATTACAAGGTATTTGTCTGCGTTTTGATGAAACAAAGACTTGAATTTAGTCTCATAGACCTCATTTCATACCCTGACCGAGGTACATTTGGGAAAGAGATGCTGACTGATTGTAGGACGTTGGTGTCCCTCCCCCCCAACACCCCTCGCCTCGTATCTCCATGGTGCATCTGGTGCTGCCCGTATGACTCAGTAGGAGTCGGCTCATGGGAAAGGCAGGCATTAGCATATTGTCTGAGCTCGTGGTGGGACTGAAAATAAAACCTACGTTTGTCCTCGCCGTCTGCAAATAGCCCCGTGCGCCCCGTCTGCAGCTCCGATGGCTCTAGCAGCTGTGTGTAGCTGGTGGGACTCATGGCGTGATACACAGTCTGGTCGCTTCATTCAAAGAGTAAACATTTGGAAGGGGCCAAAGAGCATATTTCTTCAGTAAATAAAAGATGCCTGAATAACATTAAAAACCTTCCTGTGGGTTTAAAAAAAATAATTTGGCCTATATTTTTATACTCTCATGAACGGCACTCTCACAGTAAGGTGAGAGTGCCTCGTTACTGACGCTCCGCTGAGATCAAAGGATCAGGGAAGCTTTTAATTAGAAGGCGAGCGGCGTCTCGGCTCCCCTGTGAACACGGCGACCTCACCCCAGCCGGCAGAATGTCACTTGAAGAAACTGCATAAAAGCAACAAAAAAATAAAAAGCAGAACGGGCTAGACGTCCGTTCTGTGCCGTCCGTATTCTCTGCGTTGTTGGCGTTGGACGGACTGGTTTGCGGGCGTTTCTTCTCTGTTGCCCAAAGCCAGTCTTCAAATGACGGGTCCGTGAGCCAGAGCTGCAGAATGCTAAAGCCGCATTAATATCAGCGGCTAAACCTGTGGATGATAAATCCACAATGCATTCAGACGGAGGCTGCTGTCGTTTGCTGTGAGCGGCGCTGCATTTTTTTACAGATCTTGTTTACACGGCCGGTGAGAGACGACGTCCTTGTGACTTTCTCAAAGTGTCGAGTATGTTTGTAGATGTTGAAGCGTTGCTTTAGCTCACTGCCGAGGAGAGGAATCCATTCTGCTATGTGAAAGTAACTGTTGTTGAGCTGCACTTGGAATATTAAGAGTAGATCAACAAACTGATTTGTATGTAGAGTAATGGATGTGAAACTAGTCTGTCGACTTGACATTTGCCACATTCACTGCAGGTTATTCTGCCAAACCCAACTTTAACGGATGCAAACACAATTGACCTTTTTCTTTGGCATCAGAATTTCATATGACTTTTTAAGTGTTATGTGGAGCAATGGGAAAAAAAACTATGAAGAGTCCCAAATTGTCATAAGATAGATAATCAGGCATTAAGAGGTTGAGTCAGAAGATTGTAAAGCACGCGCTGTTCAACGTGTCCGTGTGAGCTGGTGATAAAGGCTGTTTGAGCTCCATAGCATCCAGGATGTCGGCCAACGCTGTGGATGCATCTGTGGGTTTGGACGTAAATGGCCGTAAGGAAAAGGTTCACTTCTACTGGCCTCTTCCTAGTTACTTGCAGTGAGGAAAGAAAAAGACAGAACCACGTCTCGGTGTCCAGGCCGCAGCGGCAGGCCGCGGAAGAGCCACTGGTTCCGCTCTGCCGTGTTCGATTGTGTTTGCACAACACACAAACAAAGGCATACATGTGGGAAAATACGATCACCCGTCTCTCTCTTTTCCTTGAAAAAAAACAAACACATGCACACAACCAAATACCGTACTATGCAAAGTTTGTCTAGGGAGAGACTTTGAGATGTTGAGCAATTTAATCATTCTCTGTATCTGTAGTGCGATAATCTTAAATGACAGCCTTTTTTTATCCAGAATTCCGCATCTTGTTGAAGGACTTTCTATCTTAGTTTGAAGATAAAGAGTCTGTAGAACGTACTGCGGCTGCAAACTGTAGATATTGCCAGACGTCACAATGAATAAAGTTGACTGAGGTCAAAAAACACTTATTTTGGTTATTCACCAAACTACTTGATTAGAATTATCAGAGGGTTCGACACCGCGCCGCTTGCTTTTCTATTTCAAACCTGAATCTTTCTTGGAGGGATGTGATCACTTTTGTACTTGAATGCCACTTGCGCGCGGCAGCAATGAAAGCCCCCCACGAGATGCATTATTGAGCGATTTTATCGGTCGGGAACTAGAGGACTTTGCCATTTTGCCTTCAATTGCTGATAAGGGCTCTTGTTTCAGTGGCCTGCATGCTGAAGTGGTGATTATCCTTCTATTATCAGCATCCTGCCGCCGAAAGAGATTGCAAGTATGTTAACGTTGAACCCCGCCTCCCGCCCGCCTGTCTGTCCTGGACATTAGTTTCTTTTCCTACCTGTGTTTTAGCCCCCGGGGGTCCCGCCGGTCTGTCTGTGAGTCCGTCTGACCCAGTTCCTCCCCCGGCTGAGAGGGAAGTGATGACATTGGGAGATTTTCCTGTCATTGAGAGGAGTAAACAACTCCCAGAGGTTGTTGTCGGTCCCCTCCCCTCGTTTTATGTTGTGTCCTCTCTTCACAGCAGAGCCCCCCAATTTGTTTTAAGTCTCGTCACAGTGTTTTCACTTGAAACCTGGGTTTCTAAACACAACCGCAGTGCGCAGCTTCCACGCACTGTTTGTGAAATGATTTCTGTTCTTTTCTGCTTTTGTTTTTGCTGCTTCGAAACTCCAGTGTGGAGTAGTGAGGACGCTGAGTTTAAACGTAGTGCTGCATGGCTCCGCAAACTAACTTTTGTGAGGGGCGAGCACAGGCCAGTCTGCATATGGTTCCTGCAGGACTTGACCCCAAACCCACCTTGACACCTCTCCATGATAAACACACACTCGTATGTTCAGTTGTGCTGTTTACAGACGGGAGGAATGTTATAGGTTAACCCAGAGGAAGTCCGCCTGCAGGCCAGAGCTCATGCAGGGACCCAGCTTGCTCCGGCCTGGACAATGTCCTACAGTTCGCTTGGCAGCAACCGGCACACAGCACAGGAAACGGCTCTCGCTCCACTATTTCATTTCCTTTTCTCTTCTTTTCTTTGGACCGAGGTCTCACCTTTCCCCTTTTTCCTGTGACGTCTCTTCTCTTTCTGGCCTGTCGTCTGCAGACACATTTTGCACATATTTCTACTTTTCAACTTAAAAAACTTCATGGCTCATCCAACTTTATTCATCCAAGTGTATTTAAAGCCTGTGGCACACTCTTTGCTGGTGGATGGAAGTGAGCTAGACTCAAGCACTGCGAGATCAGTGCCCCAGAAATGTCACTGGTGATGTATTTCCAACCAAACTGCGTAGTTCGTGTTGTATATGGAGAACTTTTCCAGGCCAGAACCAGCGGTATGTGGGACATTTAACACCATGGGATGACTTATCCCACCTGTGCTTTAGTATCAGGTCCAGGTGCACTTGTGGACCTCCTGTAATTTGAGAGATGTTGAAATGCATCGACACAAACCTTAAACGGGTACCGATGAACATCTCCGCTTTTCCGTCTGTGTATGTTGTTGTTTATTCATGAAACGCACAGGCCAGAAAATGCTGTCATTAAAACGTTCCACACAACCAATTCCCTCCTACACAGAATTCTTGATAACATTTAATATTTAGGAAATGACACAGACACATGTTCCACGTGGATCTCTTGACAGCTGATGTGACAGCCAATTGTTTCCCTGTTTTTATTTAGAAAGGACCAGAACTTGCTGTCTCCGGTCAACTGTTGGTACCTGCTGCTGAACCAGGTGAGGAGGGAGAGTAAGGACCACGCAACGCTGAGTGACATCTACCTCAACAACGTCATCATGAGGTTCATGCAGATCAGTGAGGACTCCACACGGCTACTAAAGAAGGTGAGCGGGATTCCCAGAGAGCTAAATATGATTTTTAGGATTCTATTTATTTATTTATTTATTGTCTGTTTCCCTGTTGCCACCAGAACTAATGTAATCTAATATAACTACAATGGAGGACTTTGACAATAAATTACAATTACAATACATTAACATGTTTAAAAAGGAACTAATTGAAACATGAAAAAGGGATAGCAGTGAAATGAAGTCATTATGAACAATCAATTAACACCTCTGGACTCAGTTGGTGGGATGAGGGCTAATATGACGTATTCCTGCAAATGTATTTGAATTCCAGGGAACCAAAAATAAAGCAAACGGACTGAAAAAAATTAATTTGAAATAATGTATAATGACACATACAATTGTGAAAAATGTAACTATTTGGAAATGTGCAGTGTAACAGAGCGTACATCGTACCTTTGCTAAATTCTAAACATTGCTGCGTTTCCAGCATTTCTTCACCTACGGACACCTCATTTCACTCTGGTCTGACGTGAATTATGTTCAGCACTCACGTTTGATATATATATGCCCCAAAAGTCTAATTTAACTGCCTCTGCTTCCCCCAGCATTGTACTGATATTTGACCCCTATTAGAAAAGGTCTGCTGTGACTTTTCTTTAATCAACAAATAAACAGAACTTTGAACTCTCCACTAACACAATCCAGATTTTTCATGGGGGTCAAACTGTGCGGCCGTGTCCCCAACCACTCTTTCACTTCCACTCCACCCCTTTAATTTCACAACGAAGTATATTTAGTTGCATGACATGCAGACGTACAGTATGGGAGCTTTTAGTTTGATGAGATGGAGCTCTATTGGCCTGCTGTGGTTTAGAATTGTGAATTAGAGCGGAGGAACCACCACAGATTCAGATCGGAATGCCTCCACTCTCCCGTCTGAGGACTGCGGCTTCATGGCTGAAACCGGGCCTCCGCTCGCTTTTTTCACCACAAAGACGACAACTCCCTAAAAGATTGGGAGCTCCTCTGCTGCGGAAGTCACATAAGCCCACCGCAGGCCTAAATTACAAAGTGGCTTTTCTTCAGAGGAGCGTCTCTGGTCCGCCTCTCTTCATGTTTTATTTTTACTCAACTCAACTGCAAACCCAGACCATGCCAATTCAAAAGGTGAAAGTGTGTGTCTCTTTTTTTCGTTCTCAGAGTGATTAACGTCTCTTAATGGTTGTGGTTTCATCTGATTGTATGGGGGCGTGGTCTTTAAATACTCGCCCACACACCCCCGGAGCACAAACGGGAAGCTGCTGTGGTCATTCCCGTTTGCTAGCGTTTAAAGGCTTATGGTTTCATACCAGACTGTGTAATACAAGACATTGATCCACTTGCTTACATGTGCCTCTCATCACCTGCATCACACGCTTTGATGATCGGAATGATTGATTCCCGCAGATGCTGATTTACCTGTTTTCGTAATCAAAAACGCATCGTGGAACGCTCACAATTCGGTGGGTATTGTACTTCCCAAACAGACCCATCCTATCATCGCTCCATCTGGATCATCTTTGCTTTGGAATCTGCAGCGTCTAGCCCGTTCTGCTTTTTTTTTTTTTGTTGCTTTTATGCAGTTTCTTCAAGTGACATTCTGCCGGCTGGGGTGAGGTCGCCGTGTTCACAGGGGAGCCGAGACGCCGCTCGCCTTCTAATTAAAAGCTTCCCTGATCCTTTGATCTCAGCGGAGCGTCAGTAACGAGGCACAAACAGAGAAGTCCGTCCACCCCCCCCACCCCACCTCTTCATGTTACGTGGGCTTCCACTCCGCTTCGTGGAGACAGCTGTACTGTTGTCATCCTACCAGCACATCAAAGCCCTGTGTTTGTACTTCAGTGTGTGTTCAGGTCTCATGCTGTGAGGTGGAACCAGCAGTCGAGTAGCCCTGGTGTCAACATCCTCCGGTTGACTCGTTTGGCATGTGCATTTATTTATTCAGTGCTGCACTGTGATCACTCTTCAAAAACAAGCCACAGCCACAAGTTCTTTTAGATACACCCCATTTAGTTTTTCCTTTTAGTTTTTTTTTACATTGTAGACCCTCTCTGTCTTTATGCTTGGACAGATCTTGTATATTACATTACATTACATTACATTACATTACATTACATGTCATTTAGCGGACGCTTTTATCCAAAGCGACGTACAATAAGTGCATTCAACCATAGGGTACAAACTCAGGAGAACAAGAAACAAGAAAGTGCAATTTCCTCAAATAAGCCAATTTACAATTTGCTATAGATGAGTGACGTTACAAGTACAATTTAAGTGCTACAATTTGTTAGTCTTTAGTCGAGGTAGAGTCTGAAGAGAAGTGTGTCTTTAGTTTGCGGCGGAAGATGTGAAGGCTCTCTGCCTGAAGGCTTTACATGTAGGCAAGGCAAGGCAATTTTATTTGTATAGCGCTTTTCATACACAAGGCAGACTGCTTCACATCATAACATTTCATACAATAAAGTGCAATAAAATGCAGGAATTAAAAGACAATTAAAAACAGCAAATAAAATTATAAATTAAAATCTTATTTAAATTGTTTAATTAAAAGCAGAGGTTAAAAGTGCAATGTAGGTAAAAATTTAGCAGAAGGCGAAGCTGAACATAAAAGCTTTCAGTCTTGTTTTAAACGTGGTCAGAGTTGGGGCAAGTCTTAAATCTTCAGGAAGTTTAGTCCAGCTGTTTGCTGCATAGTAACTAAATGATGCTTTCCCATGATTTGTATTTACTCTGGGAATTGTGGTGGAAATTTGTGGATTTAGCCCATGTGAGAAATCAAAAGTATCTTGAGCTTGCTTTGTGATTAAGTATTTATTACTAACTAGAATATAGGAAAAAGATAAAGAATACAGAAATCATCAGCACAAGTCGTAAGCACAGACAGAAGTCAAATGACTACAATTCAGCTGAAAAGGGACAGATGTTCCTTCCCCCAAAAGGAGCAGGAAGATCTGACAAAGTCAAAGAGGAGAACAGGAGGTTTTATACACTTAGGGGGGTTTGTGCTGCCTCAGGACAGCCCACCCCTCAAGAGGAATGTGGGAAAAGTAGCAGATGATGTAGGGGTGACCCTGTGACCCTCCCTTTATGGACCCAGACAATCAACAACATCTAAAAGGTCAGTCAGGGCACGTATGTTTCATCTGTGTCTTATCTCACCCTGAACTGCCTTAAGTCACCGGCTCACATCAAAGGTCACATTCCTGAGAGCCTCACCCCACGCAGGCTCAACAATTTTCCCCCAACATCCCTCTCTTTTTGTCATTTTTTGACAATCAGGAATCAACTTAAGAAACTCTAAACAACAACCAAAACGAAATTAAGAAAGAAAATTAAACAACAAAAAAAACTCTTAGAGCATACATCAGTGGTGTAAATTCACGAAGATTCAGAACATCACATCATTAACTTCTAAGTACTTTGAAAACTCTTGCTAAACATTAACACCATACATGCTGTCTAGTTACACACAATCCTCACACTCATCATCACTGTCAGAGCTATCCAGATATGGTGTATGGATATGGAGTCCATTTCTGAACCGGACACCGTATAGTAGTACTTGTGTGTTCAACTGATACATGAGTGCTAACAACCTTCCTTACAAGAGCTTTAAAACAGTTACAATTAGGGTTATAACAATTACAGACAGATTGATGCCCCCTAATTCCCATAGCAGTTCCTTGAAGAGAGAAGGTCCCTATGATCCAACAAATGCCTGTATTTCCCCAAACGGATTCCAGTCGTGGTCGTGCAATTCCTTACTGCCCCGTTCTGTGTCTGCCACCACATCATAAACTGATGATGTTGCATCGGAGATGTAAGCGCAACATACAGTATGAATCGCTTTGCATACCAAGCCTTGTGCAGCCACAACGAGGTCCAGAGCCATCCTATTTTGTAGTACCATGTGTTTGATGTAATTTACTACAGTCACTCGTACCTAGAGAGGAACTACCTAGGAAGTGATAACGTTGGTTAAGGGATGGACCGGAATCTAACCAACATCACTTTAATATTATTAAATTAATACCTATAATTAATTAATTAATATCTATAGGTCTATTTTCATGATTGAACCGCTTAACTGCAAAACGTACAACTTCCCCCTTTTCACCTTCATAGGCAACTGTGCTTTGCGCTGTTGTCGCCGTGTGCGGTGGAGGAGTGTAACAGTCTTCATCATTACTCACAAATCGATGAGATAGCTCAGGCCACCCCATGACATCCCAGTCGGCTTCCGTGAATGAAACAGGAACCAGCATAGGTGCTCTAGATGAAATGGGCATATGCTGACATATCCAACAATTAGACATTCCTTTTGTTAGCAAAATCCTTCATAATAGTCAACGCAATATTATCATGCTTGTACGGTGGTGTACGGTTTGGAAGTTCTTAACGTTAGGCTTACTTGCACGCATACTGCCAATCTAGCCGAGTGAAATGGGCTGGTTCTGTTGTACAGTCTGCAGGTTGAGCGCACCAGAACGGTATTCCCCACTCGTGTCATATTTAGGGCTTAGAGTCACCGTGCAAGTGTCGTTTGTCTGAGTCCTAAAATCCTCCGAGTCCAGGACTGACCAGCGACCTAAGTGCGGCGAGCTCAGCCGTGACATGTGAACTTTACAACCCTCCTTCTCAGTCCCCCCTCTCGGACAATTGAGAGAGATCAACCCTCGCCTCCAAGTTGCTTTGGTGGGGGCTGTTCTGGCCTGCGGGAGGTCAGGGCCTGTGGTTTAACAGCCTCGTAAATGATTTCAGGTGGTACTGTTTTAGGCTGTGTCTCGCTGACAGGCTGGTAAGTTCTTTTGCACGTCTCCCTCCAGTTGCTGGAGCCAGTGTGGGCTGGTATCTCCTGACACGATCGTGGTTTACTGCACCGGAATGGTGGATCTTCTAAACCAAATCTTCCGTGCACCCACACAGTACATATTCTTCTCCCAACCCGGCAACACACACAATTTCATTTACGTGACTTTCTATTTTAACCCATG